CCCCCGCCTTCTCATCCTCCCCCGCAAAATGAGGTCACGGTGACTGACGGATCCGGTAATGGACCATTAATGCGCAAGGTTGATCGACTCCAGCTTCGAAAAAAATGTTCTAGCCTTCTCTCCACTTTCATACCTTATCCTTATTTCTCCACATGGACTGGAATATTCCCTTCCATCTTTCTACTTTCACTTTCACTTTCATATTCACCACCACAGCCTCTTAAGAGTCATACTCCACACCCCCAACCATGCCCCTCGCACTCCTCATCACAGGAGCCACCGGCAACCAAGGCAGTGCCGTGATCAACGCCCTCCTCGCCCAGGAACTCGATGTGGAGATCCTCGCCGTGACCCGCAACCCGCACTCCAGCGCCGCCCGCCGCCTCACCCAGAAATCCCCCAAGATCAAGCTCATCCAGGGGGACCTCGACCACCCGGCGCAGATCTTCGAAAATGCAAAGAAAGCCGCGACGTTGCCGATTTCCGGCGTCTTTAGCGTTCAGGTAGACCTGCCCTCAACTTCTCAGCATTTCCCCTGTCCCCCGGATTCCCCACACCCCCACAACTGTCACTACATCCAAGACAACACACTACATGTCCAGTACTGTATATTTACACAAGTGAAACATGTATAGAACCCCTTCGCCGCCGGCCAAAGCGTGCAAAAAGAAGAACACCAAGGCAAAGCCCTCATCGACGCGGCCCTGGCGCACCAAATCCCGCACTTTGTGTACAGCTCCGTCGACCGGGGCGGCGACGCCTCCAGCGACAACCCGACCAGCATCCCGCACTTCATCAGCAAGCACCGGATCGAGCAGCACCTGTTCACGCGGACCCGGGCAGCCGAAGCCGGTGGCACAGGCGGCGCCAGCGACAGCAACAGCACCACCCCCATGACCTGGACGATCCTCCGCCCGACCTTCTTCTTCGAGAACCTCAGCCCGACCACGGGCTTCACCGGCAAAATCGCCGCGACGGCGTGGGACGCCTACCTACAGGGGAAACCGCTGCAGTGCGTGTCCGTGGCGGACGTGGGCCACTTCGCGGCGATGGCGCTGGTGCGGGCGGGCGCGGCGGCGGCCCCCTTCCGGAACCAGTGCCTGTCGCTGGCGGGCGACGATCTGACCTACGAGCATCTGCAGCGGACGGTGCGCACGAAGACGGGCGGCCGCCCGCTGCCGACCACGTACCGCGTGCTGTGTTATCTGGTGCTGTGGGTGATGGGCGATCCCCGGACGATGTTCACGTGGTTCTATGAGCAAGGGTACGGGGCGGATATCCCGCGGTTGCGGAAGTTGTATCCCGGGTTGAAGAATTTGGAGGGGTGGTTGGAGGAGTGTGAGTGGGTGAGAAAGCGTTAGGTTTTGGGGGGGGGAGCTAGAAGGTGTATGTCTACGGGAGGAAAAAGTTGGTTCTTGAGTTTTGGGGAAGGGTGTGTTTGATATCCAATTTGATTTTCATTCGGGACTCATTTCGATAATGTACTCTACTGTACAACTGGGTATGTCGACATTGTAGTATCCACCATCTTATTACCTCATTTCCACAAAAGATCATCCTCGTTCAGAATAGCCTACATACTCCCAGTCTAACTACAACGCAACGGCAACCAAGACCGTTTCCTCAACTCTTTGGCCTTGTGCTGCTGCTGCTGCTGCTGTTCCTTCTCCCCCCCTGGCACAGCCTTCCTCCCCCCTTCCCCCTCCCCAAACACCGAAGAAACCCTGCCCACCAACTTCCGCACCGCCATCTGCGCCCCAAGCACACTATACTCCATGGCCGTAACCCCCGTCTCCCCCTCAATCTCCACAAACTGGCCAATCAACCCCAAATTCCAGATCGCGGGGGGGATCACGCGCGGGCGGTTGCCCTCGCCCCGCGGCAGCAAGCCCGCTGCCATGCGCGGCACGACGCAGGGGACGGTGATAGCCCCCTGCAGGATCCGGTCGGCCTCCGTCTCCTTGACCTCCAACTGCGCCAGCACCTCCCGCAGGATCTCCTCCCCCGTGCACTCCAGCATCGGCTTGCGCACCACCTCCCCGGTCCGCTCGGGGTACAAAGCGTACCCCCAGAGGACCTGTATCTCGGCCGGCTGGTCCGGGAAGACCGGTTGCGGCGGGACGTGCAGACTGACTACCCAGGGGGTGTCGATCAGGGAGACGAACATCGGCGATGATGATTCCGTGGTAGAATTGTTGTTTGTACCGGTGATACGTTCGAGGATGCGATTCCCGCCGGCGGCGCGGAGAGTCATCGTGAAGGACTCGAGGCGGGATTCCTCGAGGCGCGTGCAGAAGTTATACGCATTCCCTAAGCGACGCGGGTCCTTGGTCGTCAGCTCGAGCCATAGTAGCCAGTTCTCGTCGAGCTCGTGGTCGGCTTCCATTTGGTAGAGTGGCGGGGCGGTCGTGTTGCTGCCGAGGCTGGAGCCGGACATGGCGCTGCCCAGGGAGACGAGGACGATGTCGTGCGGTTGGACGGGGATGGTCTGCTCCGGTCCGTTGAGGGGGTGGGCGATGATGGCGGAGACGAGGCGCGGTGGGTAGGGCGGCTCGGTGGACGGTGGGAGGTGCTGCTGCTCGGCCTTTTGGGTGTTGTCGTTGGAGTTATGGCGGCTGCTGCGCTTGCGCTGGCGGGTGCTTGGGGTCGTGTGGACGCTGGCTGACGCAGACCCCGAATTGGAGGCGGCGGCGTCGTCGTCGGCGAAGATGATGTCCGTGACGGTGGTCTGGAATTGGAAGTCGACCCCTTGGCGGCGGAGGAAGCGGGCGATCGGGGCGACGAGCGACTCGTGGCGGTTGTATTGGCCGCCGTCCAGGGGACGGGGGTGCGAGCTGGTGACGCTCGCGATGTCGTGTCCGAATTTGTGCAGGGCGCGGTGGAATTCGGCGGCGCTGTGGCAGGATTTGAAGCCGAATCTGATGGCTGTGTGTCAGCGTTGCTCATGCACGAGCAGAAAGACTTAATAGTGCATGAACATGTCCAAGACCCCGCATCGTCAAGGGTAGGGATACACATACGTGGTACTCAACACCCCCCAGTAAGATCCATCAAAGAACCCCTTCGCAAAGTGATCCCGAATGCGCGATCTCCCCAACGTGACCTCACTTTTATTCATGAACCGAAACACTTCCACCCGATCCCGCAGCCCAAGACTTGTACTGTGTTTGCAGTCGATCCGGACGAGGCCGTGCTTCGACCGTCGGATGACCCGCGTCTGGTGGCACTGAGATTGTTGCTGCTGGTGGGGATGTTGTGTCTGTTCCTCTCCCAGCCCACCACGCTGCTGCTGATGATGCTGACCGGCTGTAGCCACCGGTAGACCCCAGTACTCGTATAGGTCATCCAAAACGCTCTTCCCCGGATTCACATCGGATGGAACCTCAGCGAACAACGTCGCCATCGCATCGCCATTCAGCAATGGCATCCCCCCCGCCCGGTAGTGATATCCTTCCTCTGCATTGCCGGAGCTGACGGTCCCGCCGCCCGCTTGGTCGAGGGTCTCGAGGATGTGGATGTGCGAGGCCGGGAGGTGACCTTCTTGCAGGAGGTGGACGGCGGCGGAGAGAGAGGTGATCCCTGCGCCGAGGATGTAGGCGTGAATTTCGGGGTGCGTGGCATCTGGTGTCTCCAACGGAAGGCGCATGGTGAGGATAATCTCCAGATGCAGAGGCAGGTTGTGGTGAATGAAGAAGACTGAATTTGCGCAGAGGACATGCGAGCAGCAAGCAGGTCTTTTGAGCGGTGGCGCGCTGATACAGGGTATGCAGGAGTGATGTCAGGATGGTGGTGGTTGTCACTGTACCCAGACAGTGCTGTGAACCATGGGTCGCATGCGGATGGGTCCCTTTGACGAAATGATGAGCGTTTCGGTTGTTGCTTGGGGTAGGGCTGACCTCGGCCCCAGGTTGATCGACAAGTATTACTCAAGTTACTGCAGATTCATCTAAGTTGATATTTCTTGGAGGCACTTAAGCCAATGTTGTGGTAGGTTGGTTGGAAAATCCGATCTAGTAAAAAATATGGTACGATACTATCTTCTAGCAAAGCGACGACAATTGACGTCATACACCCTCCAAACTCCGCAACACCGCCATCGACACCACCGCATCTCCCATGATCACATCGTGCAGCCCCGTCTTCAGGATCTCCTCTCGTATTACTCCTTGGGTTGATCCCCACTCCCTGATCGTCCCTGAAGCGCCAAGATCCACCTTCACATCCGCTTCCTCCACCCCATCTCGGCCCGACGCACGCACTCCACGCGCAACCAATTCCCGGGCATGCCACCAGGGAATATCATAATCATCCTCCGCGTGGATGACAGTGAGCCGATACGGCAAGCTATTCACTTCACTCGCGTGAATGAATTCCGCAATCCGTTCTCCGCTGCTCCACTGGTCGCGGATGAACCCTTGCAGCGCCTGGAACAGAACCGGAAACCGCGCGAGCGGACTTAGGATGGGAACTGTTCCGGCCACGCGGTATGTTGACACCAGGGTCGGGACATCGACAAAAGGAGCTACAAGTATGATTCCCTTGAACGCCACCGGCGGAGATTGGCGGGCGTGATGCTGGACGACGGCCAGAGTCACTGCGGTGCCCAGAGACTGGCCGAAGAGGAGAATGCGATGCGGCGGAATGTTGGCAACGTTCAGGGCCCAGTCTACGACGGCGAGAGCATCGGTGATAAGACCGGGCTCGGAGGGGGAGCCGTTCGTCAGACCGAAGCCGCGGTAGTCGAAGGTCAGCACGTGGATGTTTTTGGCTGGGTAGCCGGCCGCGAGAGCTCGGTAGTTGGGGACCCGATACCCTGACCCGACGGTTCCCCCGGCGCCGTGGAAGTGGAGGACGAGGATGGCATCTGGGTCGGAGGAGAGGAGGTTGAACGCGTGGCGCGTCGTGGTGTTGGTGATGACGCCCGGAGTATCTTCCGATAGGAGAGCACGCTCGTTCTGGTGATAGACGGAAAGAGGCAGGATGTGCCAGGCGAAGAGGCGGTGGCCGTCTGGTGTGGGAATGAAGAAGGAAGTGACTTGATTGTGAAGAAACCCGAATGATTCGGGGACCGTGAGGTCTTTGAACCAGGTCATCTGCACCGCATGCAGGTAAACCACATGCGCTTGGAAGCCAGGCCGAGTCAACAGTCCTAGCAGGGCGGCATACAGTCCGACGGCGATTGCGGCCGAGAAAGAGCCATATTTGACCATTGATAGCATGATGTCGCCTATTGTCATGACGAAGTGGTGGTTAGGAGGGAGAAGGACGAGAAATCAGAGCGAAAATTCCAAGGAGAGTGAGATTGGGAGAGTGATGTTGTGGACCATGAGAAGGTGAGAATGTGACTGAGGCTGGCGGCGGATCAGCGCTTATCGCCGACACTAAACCGCGGGGTCTCAAGCAATCACTACCTAGTAACATCAACAACAACTGGAGATGTCCTTTGGACCAGCGATTTCACCAGAACCGACCGTGTCATTCAGTGTAAATTGACCTGCGAGAAAAGATATTTTAGGAAATCCCAGCGCACACAGTGCTCGCAGAGAACTATGGCAAGTGCACAACCTATGATTCTGGCCATAGCAAAGGTCGAAACACCACCTACATTAGCGTGACAGCAGCGCTTAATTTCAACCTGTCATTCGGAGGAAAAAACTTGCTGGCGCTCTGGGACCTGGCATTCAACCATCTTCGCTGCTACCGACGCATTCCAAAACTAAGTAGAGTCTCATAGCCTCAAGCAGCGCATAACGTGCATACAAAGGCTACAAGAATCCTCGTTAACCAATTTGGCGTAGAACTGCATCATCTCTATACAAATATATATCCCGTTATCTTTAAGCCACGATAGAAACATTAAATCACTGGGCCTTGCATTCAAGACTCAACGTCCCAATGTCCTCAGTCAACTATACAGCCACCAACATAGTAACAGCCCCAACAACAACCTCCACCTCAACCCACTATCCCGAACTCGTAGGCTGGATCCCCGAGAACTCCGGCCGGGGCACCCTCAGCCTGCTCACCAGCTGCCTAACGACCCTCTTCCTCTGCACCTGGGTCGTAATCCACCCGCGCGTGCACGCCTCCATGCGCCACAGCTTCTTCCACAAGGTGGCGCTCTTCCTCAAAACCCTCATCGCACCGGAGTTTATCGCCGTCGAGGGCCTCCAAGAATGGGCGCAATGTCGACGCATGCGCCGCGATTTCATGATTCTAACCAGCCCCGAGATCAAAGACCCGCAGCACAACAACAAGCAAGCACAACCATTCACCCTCCTCCACGCATTTTACATCAGCATGCTCGCCCTGCGCTACCGCACCCCGCTAGGCGACCGAGTCCTGTGGCCTAACCAGTACGTCTGGCTACTGCAGCAGGGCCTGATCGAGTGGAAGGACCACACCCGCTGGGGGCTGGCCGTCACGGACATCGAGGACAAGAGTAAAGCGGATGCAGTGGCGAAGCTGATCGCGCTGGCGCAGGTGCTGTGGTTCGTGGCGCAGTGCATCCTGCGCGCCGTGCACGGGCTACCCCTGGCGCAGCTCGAGGCCATGACCCTGGGGTATATCCCGCTCATCGCGGTGACTTATTTCTTCTGGTGGCACAAGCCCAAGGATATCCGGTCGCCGACGGTGGTGGAGCTGCCCGTAGCGATGACGAGCGAGCAGCGTGCGGTGTTTGAGTGTCTGGCGGTCAGTCACAAGTTCGACAACGAGGGCTTGCGCGATCAGGTCACCTACTGGAGTATCTGGTACCTGACACCGCGGGTGTTCGAGAAGGAGGAGAGGGATCGGATGATGGCGGAGCGGGTACTCGAGACGAAGAAGAGCTCGTCGGAGTCGCCGGGGTCGTCGGGGTCGTCATCATCCTCACTTGCAGATCCACCAACACATGTCGACTTTCAGACAGAAGGAAACAAAAAGGAAATTGTGGTTGCTCACTGGGATCCCGATATATATCGCTCCAAGCTTTGGCCGTTGACGTGTCTCTTCGGAATGTCGTTCGGGGCCCTGCACCTGGTGTCATGTAATGATGTCTTCCCCACCACGGTGGAGTTGTGGCTGTGGCGTATCGCGGCATTCGTGTCCATGGGGTCCATGCTGGTGTTCATGCACTTCGAGAAAGTGGTGCTCCGATGGGAGGGATTGTGACTATCGTGAGCCTGTCTTCTCCGGCGTTGTATCTCCTGAGTCGGATGGTGATGATGGGGGAAGTGTTTGCGGCGCTGAGGGCGGAGGAGCCGGCGATCTACGATACTTACGAGGTTTCCTCCTACTGGGTTCATTTGTTATGAAAGGCGCAACTGCATAGAGAATCAGAGATGTGAAGCGGGCTGAGCCCTGGCTGAGAATAGGATTGTCTGCCATCTTGGTTGCTGGAACCGAGGTTGAAATTATGCGCTCAACAACTGATGGAAACTCTACATCTGCGTCCTCCATTCGCCAATATGGGAACCCTCTCAGTCTTGCAGAGAAGATGGAGCCTTCCTGCCTTGCTAGAGAAGGTGCTCATTGGAACGTCTCGCTGACTTCCTTCCAGTTACAGCATGGATGACTGCTTTTCAAGTAGGCAGTCGCTTTCCCTCTAGCTGTAAGGCCCTTTTCTCGCTCCTCCAGGTCTTGACCTCTCCTGCATCTGTCTCCTCATACCTCATTTTAATACACCAAACACACTTATTCTTCCACAACAGAACCTACATCTATCGTTACCACGTTGTTAGCCATGGCTAGTGTAGGTACCCTTCTGCCTTTACCGACCAAGCACAAGCTCACGATGCATCGCAGAATTGGAGGCCACCGCCGTGTTGGGACAGGACTCAGCCTGTGGGCCCACTGCAGTCTGGAAACCCACCGCACCCTTGGAATACACCGAATCCTCAGGGCCCAGATCAGTCTGGGTACCCACCGCAGCCTTCGAATGCACCGCAGCCTTCGAACCCCTCGGCGAACCCAGATGCGATCACAACAGCTCAGCCGACGATATTGTCAGAAGCTTCAACGCAACAAGACAGTTCGACGCAGGCTGAAGATAATAGGCTGAGTCAGGAAGCGCCGCAGGCTCAGAACCGGCGGCGGATTCAGATCAAGCGGCAGGTCCAGAGGCGGGCCCAATGGCAGGTCCAATGGCTTAGGTGGATGAGCAGTATCTTGCCGAGAAGGATCTTGCCGGAAAGGATCTTCCACAGAAGGATCTCCCCGCCAAGAGTCTTCCTGAGAGGAGACCCATTAGGACAGCCTCAAGAAGCAGACCTGCCGTACGTATCCGCAAGGCCTTTGGCATCGACGGGCCAACTTCCTCCTGCAGAATCGAATCCCCCTTCTCGCGAGTACATCTGGGGGTGGATTGACCGCCGAGGTGGAGGGCTAAACTACGATGACCTGCCTACTTGGTTGAGGGACGCAAGCCAGGGGTTAAATCTGAAAGGCGCATTCGATGCCATGACTGAGCTTGCAGGAAAAATCCCAGGTGACACTAGCGCCTACTTTGAGTTACTCGCTAAACCAGTAGTGGACGACTTCTACCACCAGAAGGCACTCACCCCTCAAGAGAGTGATTCCAGTATGATGGTGAGCGATTTCGCCGCAACGCAAACTCGTCCATATTACGCGGCCCTTTTTGCTACCAAGCAAGGCCGGCATTATGGTACAGCTTGGCACTGGTGGGCAATTGCTTCCGTTCGTGAGGCTGGTCCATTGAATACGACGGCGTCCGACCCTGGCAAGCCACAACATCTCTTCGTGTATGATCCGAGGCCCTTGCAACTAGACCTTGAAGGGCCAAGGACTACGCGAGGCTTGCGTGACTTTCTTCGAAATGATCAATACCAAATGCTGAAGAAATTGAATCAGGAAGTCCCCATCAAGTATCTTTTTGTCAATCGGGCACGACTGCGGATGCCCGACCTGAGTGATCGCCTTCGAGGGACCTTATGGTGGATCTTCAATATGGTCAGCCGTGGTGATATGCCAATTGCGATCGGATCAGAGCTAAGCGATCTTCGATGCAAGGCAGTCGACGCGGTCACTCTGGAATTTGAACACGATGAACAAGATACGGGAGCAGAGACAGAGCGGAAGTTGATCTTGAGATCGATTGCAAGAGCGGTTGAGCGTTGATACTTCCATCACATAGTTAGTGTTAGGTAGAGGACGAAATATACTTGCTTGCCTTTGACAAGAAGAGTTGAGAAAGAACAATCCACAGTAGGTCTAAGACAAGTTGAAGTTCTGGATTACGAAGAGTCTGTCAGCTATCCAGCAACCAGACTGGCAGACAATACTGTCCTCAGTCAACTTCCAAAGACTCCTCGCCTTACGAAAGAACTACCTAGATGCCCTCGAGAGGATGTTCGACATGCATCCCATACCTGAGGCAGAATAGTCGGGGTGTATTGTCCGCTTCGCTAGCATCGATGGCAATTGGGCATCATATACACAATACTCACCAATATTCATAGCCTCCCAAACAACCTCCCAAACGAGAGCTATCTCTCTCCGGGTCTGACCTTCTCCACTAAACAATCCTTTTTTAGATATCGACGATCGTCCCCATCGGATCCACCCTGGTGTCACACTAGCAGCTCCATCGCGATTCTCCACTCTCTCCTTTTTTTCGAGCATGTCAATAGCCTCACTCCCCGAAGCACTGTCAATTCCACAAATAAATACAGTAATCAGTCCACTGCCCCCTTCCAGAAGCCCTGTAGAATATTAGACTCAAATACAAACACCGCCAAGCCATCCACCAGCCTCTGGCTTACCGCCCAAACAAACAGCCACACTCAAAGAACATCCCGCCATAATGCCCATCCCCAACTACGGCGTCTGGGTCGGCCACCCGCACCGCTTCCACGCGCAAAACGCCCACCAAGACCACACGACCCCCCACATCAACCTGTTCTTACGCGACGGCCCCTCCAACCCCGACGACGACCGCGAACACGACCACCACAGCGCCTCCGAAGTCCAAGTCGCCATCAACGTGAAATCCACCCAGCACGACACGCGCCTCGTCTTCTGGTTCGTCCGCGACTTCACCCACCACCCGCTCGTCCACGAGCTCACCAGCCTGGCCCCGGGCTTCCACCGCATCAAATCGCACCCGGACAACGCCGACGACGACGACGAGCGCGAGCTCCCCTACCGCCACCAGCAGCACCACCCCACCCTCGTCGGGCTGGACTACCTGCGCACCACCCCGAGGTTGGTGGATATCGAGGCCGGCCGCCTCCTCCCGCACGACATCCCCGGCAGCGATAACGATATGCTGGATGAGCTGGCGCCCATCCTCAAGGAGGCGATCCACCGGCGCGCGACGGCGTATGTGTTTGGGAGCTCGTTCGGGACGGGCATCCACGACGTGCATATGAACCAAGGGAGTCGGAAGGCGTACGAGGACGCCGTCTTCAAGGATGGCGCGTTGGTGTTTCGGTTCCCCGATGGGCGGTGGGAGGCGGTGTTTCTGGCCTTTGCGTCGCAGGCCGTGCCGACGGATTATCGTGGACGGGCGGTCGTTGGAGGCGAGGGGAGGGATTTGGGGGAGATTTTGGGGTGATTTTTTTGTAAATCTCGTGGGATGAAGCTTGGAGGGGGCTAGATGAGTGTGATTGCATTATGATCAGTCTTTATATAGATTATGGGACGAGATAGAATGGTACTACGAATGGAACTGATAGACAGCCAAGTCAGTTAGTTGCCCAGAAACCCTTTGCCAAACACCTTGTATCCCCCGCCCTTGACGAAGGTCTGCTGCCACGGTTGTTGCTCCTTGTTCTCGGCCAGCTCCGCGAAGAGCTGCGCGTGTGCCGCGCCGTCGATGTCGCCTGAAGATGACCCGTCCGCTCTCCGCTCGTCGACGAAGTAGAACCTTGACTCGGGTCAGTGACGAAAGCCCACGGTACCAGAAATTCCAAATCAGGATGGAAACAACAAGAAAACTCACTTGTATCCCTTCTCCCGGTACGCGATCGCCGCACACTCGATCATATGCGCAGTGGCCGTCTTCCCTACCCCCAACGTGAAGAGCGGAGGCACGGCAACCGTGTTCAGTGCGTTCCCCGTGTACAGGAACGTCCGTGCTGCGGAGGCAGGCAGGGTCTCGAATCCCTCGACAGCCAGCTTGGCGGCGACAAAAACACTGGTGGTGTTGACGTTCAGATCACGGGTGAATTGCTCGGTGGTGATCTTGAAAACGTCGTCGGCGTCCGTTGGGGTCAAGCCGTAGGCTAGTTGTTCCCACACCAAAGGTTAATAGCTTTCTGGTATAGATTGCGGAGAAGTTGGCTGGAGACCGGAGAACATACCATTGTAGATGACCACGCTCGGAACCCCCAGGGTGGTCTTCACGCGCGAGAAGACGTCATGGACGGCCTGGGGGTCGGCAAGGTCACATTGGATATGGAGCTGGGTTTCAGTACTGTCATCGGGGTTGACGTTTCGAGCCGTGAGGGCGACTCGGTAGCCCTTCGCTGCGAAGTGCTGGGCTGTGTGCTGGCCGATGTTGCGGCCGGCACCGAGAATGAGGACGACTGGGGGTGCGGTGGTGGTCATGGTGGTTGACTTTGGGGAATCAATTCAAAGTGGGTCTGGTTTGTCTGATAAACTGATGTATCAAACCGGCGGGCTCGATTGCGAGATCTGACCGGTATTTATCTGATCATTGCGGTGGTTGGTGAGGGGGCATTACAAATGCGATCACTGCATGAGACCCTGTCGAGTATTAGCAACAGAAAGTCAAAGAAAGATTGATACGAGCTTGCTTATACAGCGGGCTCTCCGGGGTCTCTCTGAGAGATGATGAATGCGGACGTTCAGATTAACTTAAAGTTCACTTTCTATGGATAGGTTCCGTATTCGCAAAGCCATGGTGCAGTTTCCCGGTTCGAAACCGGGGACGGGGATGGGAATTGGCTCATCTCTCTTCCCCAAGTTCAGAGCTCAAAAGCCTCTGTAGCATGCATTAGCAATCAGAATTGCTCAACCAAGTCCCGAAACGGCTTACTGCTTATGGTAAGAAACTAGGGAGTGTCTTTGGTGGCTGGATACAAATGATAAGGACTTTAGCATGCGCCAAGCACGCAAGAGATTCCCGCTTACCAATTCCGCGGGGTAGATGCATAAGCAGAGCTCTTACAGTCAGACTCGACGAAACCTCCCTGCAGAGAAATGACAATTCCCAATGGAATACACCTTGGGATGAAGCTAATGACTTCACTCATATCTCGTTGGCTCAAAAGCAGAAGCAAGAAGGAGATCAAGATGTCAGTGGATAAAGGAAAGTTAGACTGCTGTGAGTAATGGTGCTGTCGGAAAGTGGTCTACCCGACGCAGCCAGCAAAGGATCAGTCTACCCTTATGTTCTGCGCCTCTCTCCAGATCCGTCCTGAGTGTCAGAATAGTAAGTATCCGCCAGCCTACACCAGATTCTGTGAAATTCCCCTCGAGAAATGCCATTCAAGCCTTCAACACCACCAGAACAATTATCTCACCAGCAGGCCGGGCCGGTGAACATCTAAAGGACCTAATCCGGAGAACTGTGTGTCGATGCCTTCGTCCTAGGATGTTCACCCTCGGTTCCAATATCGCCATCACTATCAGCATTCATATCAACTTGCTTCGGGCATGCCCGCTTTCGCAAGGCTGGCACAGATCGGAATGGGAAGTCCTCCACAGTCAAGTTTCTCCATTTCTCGTGTGTGTGGAGACCGTCAAACGACGCGAGTAAGTACTGCCGGTCGAACTTGGCTAGCTCCGGGGAAGGACTTGTGGACTTTTGTCGGAGAGCAGTTAAGTGAGCGCGGACCATCAGCTGTATCGTACAATCTATATGGATGAGCGCAGCCATCAGAAGTCAGTGTGAAGTGGCCGACTTACACTTGAGGAATTTTTGCCCCAGTGCAGAGCAGTCTTGGAACGAGACGACTTTTGTAGCCCAAGATAAGATGTATGAGGTCCATTCTACATCGTATGCGGCATTCAGGACACAACGTAGCTCCTTGAAATCTGCACACTGTGTGAGTCTCTCTCGCTCGTGCTCTGGCTGGGACAGAACCCAGCGTTCATAGCATTTGGGTGCATGATTCAGACTGTGGCTCTTCCAGATCCAGTACCAGTTGCGGACCCGCTCGACTGCCTCCTTATGAAATTGGCCTGGATTGATCTCCGGGATTGCCTCTTTCACCGGCCAATCCAAGCGTGAGTTGTCGAGGCCTGCTATGAATTGCCGCTGCGCGAAACGCTTCAGCTTGGCGGCCGTATCCGGATCCGCCTCTAGTAACGGGTATCGAGTCTTCCCTTGCGACTTGCACGTAGTCGTAGGACTTTCTTGGGCTGTTTCCTTGGTAAGAACTGGAGGTGGTGATTGTGATGATGATGAATCGGCTGGTCCGGTACGACGGAGGTCCGGACTGCGCCCCAGAGCCTCCATTGTAACAGATGGTCTAGAAGTCTGAGATTGTTAATCTGAGCTCCACTGGCAAGTTCAGGCGGTCGGACGGGAAAATGCGAAAAGAAATTACTTGGCTGTTTGCAGTGTATCGCAGATCACTCAAGGATAAAGTATCAAAAGATGACTGACTATAGTCAATGGGTATGTGCTGTTTCTGAATACGCACGGTAGCAAGAGGGTAAAGCTTGAATGATCCTGAGGTAGAAGCTCAGACGACGGGATGAGAGATATGATCAGTATTCAGGGTAGTGAATTGCAGGTGAATGAATCATGTGTGTTCAAGTCAATTGATTTCTCAAACTACTTCTTTCGCCCAGCTGCAGAAGCCTACGGTTCTGAGCCAACAAAGTGTTTCGAGGTAATGGAGCTTGTCACTTAGGAAAGTCTTGCAACATCATCATCATCCTCGTAGGCATAGTAGGCACACTCTCTTTAGTGCTGTCATTTTCTATAATCCGTTGATAGGCCCAATCAACAAGTATATTAACAAGCCCATGAGCTCCCGTGGCAACCTTTATCTCCCAGCCGACTTCCGAACAATGCTCATTTGTCCATTTGATCCTGGATCCAGGGGGAACCCAGATGCTTGTCTCAATCTAGCCAAAGCTTACCACAGCCCCGGTGACTGCTGCTTCACTTCATGTACCATGATTGGGTCCAGATTGGCTCATTTCACCCTGATTGCCGCAACCATGCCAGTTCATGCCGGACAACAGTAGTGCAATCCTCCAGGCTTAGCCCGCTAGCGCTGTGGAACCCTCTTTGCTGATATTATATACTCCAATACGGAGTGCTGTACCTTGTATGCAACAAATACTTCCCATCTCCCCATCTGAGACAACGATTCTTGTTGTTTCCAAGCTGAAAGTGGATTTGTGATCAGCCAGGATGATTGCTAATGCTTATTCGGGGGACGCGGAAGAAATTCCGCGTTCTACCCTTGGAATCTCGTAAGCGGGCCCCAGTTTTCAGGATCCACCCATGATTGCATTGATTGCATCGATTGCATCCATTTGACCCCGCCATTGCTCGTGCCTACGCATATATACCTTACGTGTACTCATCCTTGTCTCTCACTTCACGCTCACTATCCCTTCATCTCAATCTCTCAGTCTCCTCCCTCACACATCAACTTCACTTCATCTCTTCACAACCCGCCAAAATGGTCCTCAAGCTCCACGGCCTCGCCATGTCGACCTGCACCAAGCGTGTGCAGGTTGTCCTCAACGAGAAGGGCGTCGACCACGAGTTCGTCCCCATCGACTTCGCCAAGGGCGAGCACAAGTCCGAGGCCTACCTCGCGAACCTCCAGCCCTTCGGCAAGGTCCCCGCGCTCGAGGACACCGAGACCGGAGTCAAGATCTTCGGTACGTTTGCTCCCCCCCCCCAATCACCCTCGCTCCCCGCATTGCCAGCTCTAACACACACTCTCTCTCCCACTACAGAAAGCAGAGCCATCGGCCAGTACATCGCCTCCAGGTACCGCGGCCAGGGCAACGAAGTCTCTCCCCCCGAGTCGGACCTGAAGGCCTTTGCTCTGTACCAGCAGGTACGTGGCTCACCCATACCCTGCCCCTCTCCCAACACAACAGCTGGACCCTAACCCACACATCTGTAAACGCAGGCTCTCTCCGTCGAACAATCCTACTTCGACCCCGCCGTGTCCGGCATCGCATTCGAGAAGGTCTTCAAGGCGTACAAGGGTCTGGGCCAGACGGACGAGGGCCGCGTGCAGGCGCTGGTCGCCCAGCTGGACGCCGCCCTGCAGGGCTACGAGCGCATCCTGTCCAAGCAGAAGTACCTGGCCGGTGACAGCGTGACCCTGGCGGATCTGTACCACCTCCCGTACGGCGCCTTCGTCGAGCCGTTCGGCTTCGCCGAGCTCCTGCCCAAGTACCCGCATACCCAGAAGTGGTGGGAGGAGCTGAAGGCCCGCGAGAGCTGGAAGAAGATCGCTGATGCTAAATAAGTAGCTAGCCTATATTTAGGGATTTTGTTTGAGTTATGAAGCGAATGATATGATTTCTTTTCACACGTTTTCGATCTATGCCAGGAAGGTGGCATTTTGGGAGGTTCGGTCCGTAGTAGAGGGGTTGGAAATGGTATGCGATTGAGAATAATGTCTACAGAGTTGATCTTCTGCGCTATCAGGGCGAGAGACATCGATATATGTGCACTCCCACCTAATCCACCACTCCGGCTGGAAGTACCACTACGTAATCCACTGGCGCAGGCTCAACGCCATCCGGCCGTCCGACAATCTTCAACTCATCCCCCTTCTGGACCTTGACTCCTTGAAACGTGATCCGTGTCGCCGAGTGACCATCCAAGTAGATGGAGACAGAATTACCCAGCGAGTGGTTGCGGAAGTTGCCTACCCATTCGCCCACGACTTTGTCATTGAGACTCAGTGTCCAGTGCGA